TTACTATTACACTGTTTCACAGATAAAGATCACAAGAAGACACAGAATCAGTGCCTTGCAAAAGCTCCTAAACGACTCCTATGTAATCTTTTTCCAAACGACATTCTCTTGGAAAGGGAGAGAGCGGTAACCAAAGTTTCTACCCAAAATCATAGTACAAGACTGGGAGCTGATTATCGCCAAATATCGAGAAAAAAATTGAAGTTCGGACGAATACAAATGGTATAGGCTCGAATGGAAGGGGGAAGGAACTGAGAACATGAAAATAGCGCTTTAATAATTACTTTTTGAATCCTCACTTCATAAAGTCCCACATATGAGAAGCGGAAAAAGGTTATATATTGAAAAGCATTGTTGGGGATCGTATTAGGAATCCAAAATAAACCGCACAGCGTTCAATCCGGTGAGTGCGTTAGAGTGCTATGTACATAGGTCTGTACGAATTCTGAGTCGATCGCTAATCTCTGAGTGCTGTACACAAAGAGAATAATGTGGCTGGGAGATGGGCAGTATCCTACTTTGGGCAGGTCAACTTAAAGCGAACAGAGAATGTTCAGTAGGACTCAGTGGATGAAGTAAAGGGGAACGAGTGCCTATACCAGTAGATCCCAGTGTCTAGGTATCGTTCAAACTGGCTCCGCGCCAAGTTTTACCACACCAAACCTCTTATCGATATTAGTGTAAATCAATGAAATTGTCCGCTACATCGAATGTAGGCACTTAACTGGTCACGAGTCAACTCTGTAGGCAAATTCCTTGCACATTTCCCTTCTCAAGTGAGTTCGCCATTTTGGCATGTCAGTATATTTTCCAAGAAAAATATCCGTCTTTTGGAATAAGTGTTTTAGTCACTTCACAAGTTGCGGTGAAAAAATGAAACACAAATCAGAAAGAAAGGTCTAGAAATAAGAGTTTTCACAACTACACTTTCGATTTGAGATTTTGAAAATGAAGACAAATGTGATAGACGATAAGGGCACATTTTAAAAAGCTGTGCAGGTAGCATATGAAATTTTGGCAACGAAATGTATTTCTTATGTCGGTGCTGATCGATTTTTATGAGGTGATTACATTTTAAAAAAGTATGTAAGTCAGCTCGGTTGGTTCAAAATAATGGGTTTCTCAAAGCGCTTATCAGCCTAAGTTCCCGTCTGTTAATCCATGCTTACTCAAACGAAAACAATTGCTGACGTCAGAGAAATCTTTCAGCAACTGGTAAACTTGGGAAGTACTCTTTAGCTAAAAGTTGTTAGGGAGAAATAGGTACATTCAAGTTGATCGATCAGAAAACCAGCGACGGGTTGAGAGGATAAGTACTTTGGCAAAACAAAAAACTAGAAAGCACGCGTATTTCTTCATTGCTGATCCCACTCAGTTCTTCTGAGCCGCATCGATCGCACTAGCTCTTCGGTTGAGATATGTTCGGATTTGGGTTTATCTTCGGAAAAATAGAGTTTGACAGGTGACGCAAGGTAAAACCACCGCCATGATATGGACCCGATGATTATATCTTACGATTGATCAGATTATAATTTGCGATCGATTTTTACTTGGCAGTTGCGTCGTGATATAGTTTTTCTTAGGCGAAACAGGGATAGACCGATATTACTCGCCCATTTACGGTTTCATACTACTTGCCCTTCATTGAGAACAACACTGCACAGTCAATTAATTTTAAATGTAGAAAAACGGGAACTGAAACCACCACAACGAAGTGGTAGAAAAACTGTGTAAACACGTTCGCAATCAAAGTCACACCCTGAAGCGGTTCTCATTTCTCAGTTTCTTGAAACCTTTTGATGATATTTTTAACCCTACAGTTTGAACGTTAGGTATCATCATGATATAGCAGGTTGGCGAAAAAGCACAAGTGCACATGCAGAGATTATTTTAGGCGAGTGGGGATTTCGTTGACATTTTCAACTTCAGAGAAAAGTTGAAGTCAAACTTGAAGTCTATTACCGTGCCGAAAGGACTTCTGTGCGGACTACTTTGCGGAGCTTCTTAATCCGCAAGTTAAAGAAAAAACAAACAAATGATTCGATGAGGTGATAGTGCCGAACTTTCCGAGCGATAGCCTATCGAACCGGACAATTTGAATTGAAAAGGGAACCATAGAGGGTAGAATGTAATCTAAAAAATGACCATAGAGTTACTTTTACAGAGTACGTATTGATTAGAAAGGAATTTATGAAAGGACAGAATATAATTCATGTCGTCTGGTTAAAACGACCCGAAGTAGGACAGATCAGGACGAACAACGTATGAAGTACGAATTCCTACCGCAGTCACGAGGACACGAGCCCTTTTCGAAAACAAATCGCTCGATCGATACGAAGGAGGACAGCCAGTCAATAAGGGTCTACACGTAGAAAAGGTCGAGAACGTCCATGAAATGATTATATGAACAGAATTCCCCTTAGAAGAAAAAACAGATAGGAAATGAAGGGAGGAGGGCCAGTCGGCCAGCATTGGTGGTGGCGAGTCGTCGGTTGTTTCGCTATGGATGTAGGGCGGGGTATTGATTGGTGCGGGGCAACATACACACACACACTCACGAGTGCAGCTGACGTACATGAGCTGCACTAGCTCATCCATTTCACTGACGGTCCTCAACCATTTCCAGTTCCCTACTGAGTCACCAAGCTTGCTGAAAATCTGAAAAAATTTCAAGATTTGGTTGAAAACAGATGACGGTAAAGGTTGAAAGCACTTTCGATCCACTCACCATCTCGACCGGTTTCCCACAACGTTGATCGCTTTGATAAATAACTCTGTGTGAGCGAAGTTTTGGAGTTTGTGCTATGGTGTTTGATGCCTGCTACTTGGTACGATAACTAGCACAAGTCGATAGACAGCGCTTATTGATCCACTTTGGGATGCGCCCTATTCCGGTTTTTACTCGAGGTCGCAAAGTCATTTGAATGTGTATTCAGCTAATACAAAGACCATTACGGGTCTGCAACTGTTCAAGGAAGAATTCCTCATTCCGAAGCTTTCGAAAGTTCTGGTGGAATCCGCTCACGGCTGCAACATTGCAACGGTTTCAGGTTACCTCTGGGTGTTCTATCTCAAATGTGGTTCGTCTTTCATCAGTAGGGAGCTGATGGGGTTCCTTTTCGTTCTATCTATAATTCTGTGATTTTGTTAGTGCGATCAATAAGTTTTCTGTTCCAGGATCATGATAGTATCATCAGTTCGCAGTCGTAAATATACCCTGCCTGAACAGGGATTGAACAGCTGTCAGACAGCCTTGCTACTAAATCGACTCATGTTCCAAGTGGATCGTACATCTATTCAGCAAGCTTTTTGGCAAACAATGTGGGATTTTTAGACAAATTAAAGTTAGGGTAGTGGTGGCACGTCGTCAGGAATTCATTTTTCATTGAATCTGGGAAAATGTTGGGTCAAAATGTACCACGGCTACGCTGTGAGCGATTTGTGAATCGACTAGCTAAATGGTGACGTTTTAAGCTCTCCAAGACGAATGGGAAATGAAAGTTGTGTGCCGTATGTCAGGGGAGTTGATTGATCAATCTTCTCATTACTGGAATTTTCTGCTTGAGCGCTCACTAGAAGAATCCCGGATTTTGCGTCATTAGTCCGAATCATATCCTCGAGTGATTGTCGAAGTCACCCGACTATTTCCTGGGCTGAGCCGCGAATCACCAGAAAGGTCATGCGCAGAAGACCCTGGCGTGCAAGTCATAAATCATCTGGTGTGTATTCGAGCAGAGATTGTCGCCAGAAACGGCCGTCCGTTGGCGCAACCTGTTAGATCTATCCGCATCTCAGTCTAGCTTCTGTTCGATCTCTGAGAGATGATCGATTGAATGGATGAAGGGGGTTGTGATCCGAATGTATGGTTCTTGGACTAATCACGAAGATTTCTTGCTTTGCCTCTAATGAGCATCAATTTTCGTAGGCGCTCATGAGAAGGTCTTGAAAGTAATACCACGAAACCTGAGATTTGCCAAAATCAACGGCGTATGAGCAAAACAACAACGCCGCCCCGCAACGAGCGACTCAGATGTCAACAGCAGATATTCTAGGCGACTGAAGCGTTTTGATACTAAGGGAGTTGGAGCCATTAACCGGGACTAGGATCACGAATAACTCGGCTATTTGAGTTTATCTTCGAAATACACTTATTTCCGACGGGATAGCATCTTGACGATCAATCACCAATCGCCGAAAACTTTTTATTTTCTTTCTTCAGAAGGATGCACTCGTATTGAGAAATGATTTGCTTGTCGACGCCCAACACTTTGCCTTACTAGTTTATCACACTCCTGATTATCTGTATCACCTGTCATAGGGCCATTGCTTAAAATAAGGAGCTTTTTTCAAAGTCCTCGCTACATGTTCGATAAAATTTTGAAGTTTTTATGGAATGCATTTCAATCACAGTCACGCAATATTTATACTCAAATTTTCCTCTTGCGATATTTACATCGAAGAACAGCCAACAATATAACAGTAACAGTGGGACATGTCCCAATTCATCTCATGTCTTCTTTGTGGGATTCCTGAACAAAAAGATCATAGTACACTCGTGCATTTCCATTCACAGGATCGTGGTGGTCGAACATATGCACCACATTATGAAAAAACTCTATGAATCGATTTCCGCCCATTACCATCCCACGATGGATAATTCTCGAAAGATATTAGGCATGGTCCCAGTAACGCTTATGGAGAAGGCAGAGCAGTAATGTGTCACGCCTGTGTTCATCGCACACATATACCCGTTAAGTGCTCATCTTTAGTGAACAATCACTATTCATTTTCAATGGAGCGCGTACATGGCAGTTCCCGTTCCAAAGACTAGGAACCAACCCGTCAAATGCACTATACTTCTATGCCTGAAAAGGTGACGTTTGTCTCTTCGTTGTCTTTCCCTCTTTCTTCATCTCCAAGCTCTGGACGACACAAAGCCACGTCAACATCAATTAGATCTTCAGGAATTGGCATAAACTGGACCGACGGCGCTCCACGAACTTGCCGTAAATTTTCAGTCACTTCTTGTCTTATGGCAGCGAGGAACTAAAACATCAGCAGCTACTGAAGAGAATCGTCAATTCTCAACAAAATTTACCTCTTTCGTATTGTGGTTGTCGGCCCGCTTAGGAAGCTCAGGACGTAACGTGAATTCTGGTTCGAAAAATGGAAGATACTCTGAAACAATGACGGTGACATCTTAACCTTAACCCTGATTCCTTACAACTGATTTACATGAGCACTAGTGAGATAATGAGAAAAAGACCTCTTTTAATGAAACACCCACCAGCATTCTCAGGGATTTCATTTGTCATTTCAACGCCTAGTAGAACACCGGTTTCATTTGCCCAACACCTAGCTACATTTCTTAGGGTATAGCCTCCTCCACCTAGCACAAGCATGGGAATGCCGAGACTTTTAACGAATTCAACACACTTAGCGTGCCCATCAAATCTGAAAGCAATTTTAAGTAGCCTTCAAAGTTGCTATGTTGCATAGAACGAAATATGCATTTACTTCCAAAGCTTTTTAAAGAACTAACGAGAGATTGAAACAGCCAAGTCGATCGCAACCAAGGGAGTCTGCACCACATTGCAGCACAACGGCTTCAGGGGCGAAATTCTCTACCACTTGGGAAATGATTGGTCGGAACACGGACAGGTAATCTGAGAACGGAATAAAATTAAACAAGATTGAGTGCTTACAACAACTCTAAATAGGCACAGACCTTCATCCTCGATTCCCTGTTGAAGAGGTACATTGACAGCGAAATACCGACCCGTTCCTTGGCCGAGATCATAAATACTACCTGTTCCCGGAAAAAACAAACTACCGTATTTGTGGAACGAAACTGTCATCACCTGAAGGAGAAACGACATACTGGATGAAATGAAAGATGAAGCCTCCAAGCGAAACGAAACATATACTTGTTTTCTTAGAAAGTATGGGGAAGAGTACCTCGCTAATTCCGTTCAGTTTAACTCGAAAAAGCGATCAACACGAAACTCATTGACCCCTCCCATTATGATTTACAGTGCAAAAAAATTTCGAAGTTGAATCAGGCTAATTTCTACCCGTAATAAATCACTTCTCACAATGATCTAATACGTGTCCCATATGAAATCTTACTCTGTTAACCTAATTCGAATGAATTAAAATTACGGCTTTGTCGCGACGTATTGAACGTATACTATAAAGTAATTGCAAAAGAAGATTAATGGAAACCCACACGATCGGTAAAATTAAACGCTTCCTGAACACCATCTCCATGATGAATATCAATATCTACATACAGTACCCTACAACAATAATGTTGATTGGACGAGAAAAACCTCGAGAAGCAAAAAAACAAACCGCTTATGGTATTTCAAAAGTTCTAGTATAGCAATAACAATATCATTCACATAGCAAAAACCACTGGCTTCGGCCTGAAAGAAATTGGAAATGAAACGACAGAATGAAAAACGAAAAAAGAGAAAAAATGAAGATGCGATAGTAGGAAGCGAGGGGTTGAAATCTGACTTTTATACTAAACAAGAGATATGGAATTGCACATTACCTTTTTTGCATGATGAAGTCCGCCACTCCAGTTAATTACAATATCAGATACTTTATGATTAAGACGTTGAGCTCCTTCTAATGATCCACCCGTGTAAATAGTACAAAACTCAAAAATGCCATCAAAAATTGGGCTGAAATAGAAGTACATCGAAGAATATTACAACTACATAACATGAACAGAGTTAGCAACCAGTTTTAATAGGCAACAGAACAACCTTGGAACAACTCTCGTACATATCATGATGGACTTTTAACATATCGATTACAAAGATTATTTTTGTTATCAATCAAGTTAAAGTCCAACATTTCCCCTTATTTTGAACTTCGCGAAATTGGGAAAAAACATTCATGGATGCTGTCCGAGTTCAACGACGTGCATTGTTACAACCGACCGACAAACCGACGGTGTTGCTGGCCACGTGTCGACGACGCGATACAGATTGCGGTCAGGAGCGAGCTAGCGGTATCGGTCGAAATCCAGCGTTGTACATGTGACCAGCAAAGCCGTCGGTCGATCAATTGGTCGGTTGAAACAATGCACGTCGTCGTAGACGGAAAATACCCTATAGAGGGAGATGCATCCGATCTGGTGCCAAAACGAAGCATGAGAGATTGTTTTAACCATGCGGTCAACCATGGAACAACTGTCATAAAATCACGATGGATTTTGAACCAAACAATAACTCAAATTATTTTGGAAATTACCAGTCTTCTCCTATGTTGAACTTGGCAAAAACGTGTTCATATTCCTCAGCACAATGTGGAGATATACGTTCCAGGAAATCCACATACTCTTTCGAGTGAAACCGCCTTAAATGAATGATTTACTTCTCAGAGACTAATCAAGTATTCTACTCGACGAAACCAATAACCTTAAATCGATAGCGCTGGCTCTCGGAGTAAGCCGCATTTCCATTTTCTTGTCTAGCTCATAATGCACTACAAGGTTATTTAAAGCAGCTAGACGTTGCGGTTTCATTGGATGACGAGGACCTGTAGTGGAGAAAAAAATTTTAAAAACTGTACTCCTAGCATAGGATGCCTTACACACTTACCATAATGAAAATTTCCAACTTCAGGATGGTAGTAGTACACCACACTCTTCTCTTTTGACATGCGGTCCGCCTATGTTTTTTGATTTAAAAGACAGCAACTATTTTCTATGAAGCTCCACTCTGTACAGATATGATCCTCAGTGATCGGTCACCGTTTCTTCAAACGAATGTGGTCAATTGAAACAAAGAATTTTATTATCGCAACTTAAATACGAAACAAAAAAGGTCCCACAACGTCATATATAAAATGGCATGGTCCCTAGACACGTTGTACAATAAATATTAATTCAGTTCAAAACCAAACAGGTACGACTTATCTTCAAATTCATGGATTTTGCGAAGCAAGAAAGTGAAGTGAAAGTCCGAGAGCTTTTAACCATACCATGAACAAATGAAAACAAGTCGCTTCTACGACTCGTCGCGATTTGGCAACAAAATCGATTTGGACATACTAAACCACTGTTAACAATGCCATAACTGCGCAATGAAGTGGTTTGGCTAATATGAGATGATGAATAGAAAGATCCGCAACGAATACGAGAACGAGGACAGGAAACAAAAATACTGACTCGCTATAGAAATGAATGGTTCAAACGACCGCTGCAGCTGAGAGTCTACCCGTAGATGGCTGCAGGCCATTAACTTTGCTAGATTGTTAAGGAAGTTATTATGTTAAAATACTTATAGAAGGGGTAGTAAGTAGCAAGAAACAGTTTAACTCGTAAACGAAGTGAGTAAAATGGGTAAGACAGCTATGACAGGACCAACGTATACAAACAACAAGTATTCTGCGCTTTTAACAGTCAAACGTAACACCACAGCATCCTTTGCACTTTTCAACATGAGGTTATTTTTGGAGAATCCGAGTCTTTACGCTCAGTACATAACCGATCAAACTGTTTTACAGCACTTATATCGAGACCGAAAAACAGAGATCGGCATTCCCACATGATTTTCGGATAATATAATCAAGAGGCAAACTTTTTTGACCCCATTACAACACGCTCATCCAAAAATCCCATAATTGAAATAATTAAAAGGACTCTAAATACTTTTCTTACCATGAAATAGTATTGTGACAGAGATACTTAGAGATCAAATATGAGCTTACTGCATGACTACACCCCCCACAAGGATAAGGATCTTCGAATCACAACAATCCCTCGCAGAAGATGCAGAATTTGCTTCAAATGTATAATAGTGAAGACAGAAAAAGCCACCTGTAAAGGGAAAATTGGTAAAAGATCGAATTTGGAAGTAGCCACCCCCCCCCCCCCCCCCCTCCTCTGTTGAAAAGCTTTAAAGGAAGTTGCGTGAAATGAGATGTAAAGTAAACAAGGCTTGTATCTGAACCTGTGCTAATGCAGAAATTTCGTTGCATATAAGTACGCTAGTCCACGCTCAGCTCAACAAATGTGCAAAATTAATCGTTACAATATACTGTGATAGAAGAACGTTTAAGGAAAAAGAACATTAACGAATACTCAGGTCAAAGAGAGAGTTACACAACAATTAAACCATATAAAGGTACCTAAAACACTCCCACCTTCATGACATTAACTCGGATTGTAGATCAGATTGAAAGCTATTCATAAAAGCTCAAAAAGAATTAAAATTTGACATTCAAAACCGCAATACGGTTTGAAATGGTTCTTGAATGTCTACGAAGACACTTGCGAACTAGCCTGAGATGTGGAGTCAGAATCTTGATCATGAAGCTCAGACAGCAACTGTGCTAGAGCATGACTACTTTCGAGCCGTGATAGAGCTAACCAACAAAGATGCCGCTCATGACGACGTAATAAACTGAAACATGACCGATCGAATTTAACAGATAAATAAACGTCTACTGAATGTAACATACTGTCTTCCAGTAGCAGAATAGCGTGCTAAATTCCTCAGAATCAAACAACTTGTTAGACGTATGCTCTTTGTGACTGGACCTTCTGGCTCATCCTGAAATTGTCGTACTGGGCAGCATTCTAGCAATCCTATAATTCGTAACACACTGACCGTTATATCTCTAGGAAGGAAGTTGAAGGCATGCCGCCTTATTGCTTCTATGGCTGCATGTTTACTATAACCAGGATGATGAGGTACTTCACGTGGGAGCTCCTGTCTATACCGAAGCGGCTGTGCAGGAGCCAATCCATCCCTGAAAACAAAATACTATGCTGACGTTTGAATATTCGATCGAGCTGCTAGACGATAAGGCAACACAACAATCTCGTTTTACAATGCATTAGGATTCAAAGGGTTGTAGCTAGAGTTGGTCCCGAAAAGGCAGGGCACCAATGTTGTCAACTTCACGATGATAAATTCCGAATTAGCGGTATGGTGTGCGTGGTTTTCATAACCTACTGTACAGTGGTATTGTAAAAAAAAANNAAAAAAAATGCCAGCATCTTTGATATACTTGCTTCATCGTCTTTCTAGGCAGCAAAGAAGAAACAAACGGCACGCAGGGAAAACGGTAAGACGGGTTATTGAAGAATCCTGAGACTCGGCATGATAGCTTATCTGGAAGCGAGGTTGAAGGTGAAAGCGCTCCTGACGGAAATTGAATCCAGCTGCAAAGCTTTACTGTTTTCGCCACGGTCTCTCCAACATATGCTCACCATTTTGATACCCTCTTGCAGAGATCGATTATCAGGCAAGGTTGGTTCGGCGCGAACGGTTAAACATTGAGAGTATACGTTTTGCACATCAATGTTGAGTGCAGAAAACCATAACTCAGAGGCACCCTTTCGACCAGTTCTAAGATTGGTTCACAACCGTAAATACATAAGGATGTAAATAGATGCGAGTTGTTGGATGCGAATCAGGACAACCTTAAAGGAATCGTCGTCGAATCATGCAAAGACAAAGTCAACCAGCAAAAGAATCTAATTCTTGGAAAACGTGAGAACACCTTTTTCAATTCTCCTTTGAAGCAGATTCTGTGGGCATGGGATCATGCAGCTGCAGTAGGGGAATAGAGGGTTGAGAAGGGATCCACTGACAGAACTTTGTTTACTGCTTCGTTTAGATATCAGTTTCTAATGAAGACAATTATACATCAGATTTGCACCGCAAAACGGAGTCAACTTTTGTAACAACGCAATACCACCAAAAAGCCTCTGCATAAACTCAATAAATATAGATATCATAACTAATATACAATACATACGACGTGGAGACTCACTTTCGCCTCTGAAGAGCCATCTTAAGAGCGGTCTCGTTGGCATGGTGATCCTGCACATGAGTCACTAATGACCACCTAAAGTAGAAAAAATTAGGAAATTTAAGAGCACAAAGTAGTGGTTCAACATTACAGCAAAGTACTGAATTTATAAGAAAGAGAAGAATCAGGGCACCGTACACACCTGCTCCTCAAAGTACCGTCACATCCTGGCCATTGACACACTTGCTCACAGTCATCAACGATGTGCACTTTGGCCGCATGAGAGAGGACTGCAGACGCACTTGCAAATAATGCAGCGCATCCATCCCATTCACACATATACTCCGCTAATGGATCTATCTGCAAAAAAATTTCCTCAGATAAATGACAGACATGAAAACGCAAGCTATCTTGGGTATGACCCACTTACCAAACTCTTCAGAACAGACTTCGTCTCAGGTGCCTTACGACGAGACGCTTTCTCGTCATCGCTTGGGTCATCATCAGATGTTGCGATACCATTCTCAGTCTTCCCGTTCTGCCCATTGCTTTTAGTTACATGTTCTTGTGGAGGTTTACCGTCAGCATTTTTCGGTTGAACTTCCTCCTTATGCTAAATTCGCAGCTTTATTCCAGCTAACGCAACTAAGGAATAATTAACGCAACTAACCTCGGCATTAATGTCCACCGCTGGCGAGGCGCTCCTTGAAGAGGAATTGCTTCTTAAATAGAACACAACATTACGTAATGGGATTGATTACCGACACAAGCTACTCACTTGGCTACTCCATTAACACCATTGACAAGAGGCAATGAAGATTGTGCGTTTTTCGTCAATATTTGTTTCATCAAGGGATGAGCAGCGATTGTGGCAGAGTGTGGAGGAGGCTGTGGTGACGGTGAAACAGGAATCATCACTGGAGGCAAGGGATTGTTCTGAATGGTCATGGCACTGTTAACCGCTTGAGCTGACGCAGCAGGAGCCAGTCCTAAAAGATAGATCAGAACACTAAAAATAGAAGAAAAACAAAAAGGAAAGGGAGTTCTCAGAGTCAGCTTACTGTGTGGTTTAACTAATCGTATGCCTTGAGCTACCATCATCAATCCGTTCTCAGCCATTTTGAAAACCAGTTCAGGGAAAATAGACCTAAACAAGTACAAAAATAAAAATAAAGTCATCAATTTATAGTGAAAATCATTACTTCATGACATTGCTGAACATTGCCAGACTACCACTGAGAGAATGGTACTGATTACGTAAATCATCGACATATGCAGCATAAAGTTCTCCTCGCGGAGTTACTGCGCTGTGATCCAAAACACAGTTTTGTCGAATCCACTGCTCTGTGAGTTGATCTACCTGAAAGGAAAGGAATACTTATATATTCTACATTTCACGCCGGCTCCCCTTTTCATCTGTTGCTCAAAACATGAGAAGTTGGGTGAATTAGTTTTGAGTATGGAGAATAACGCCGTTTTGTCTAGGATACGAAAAGTCTATAAATCTAAGTTAGTCTTGATCAACACCTACTTTGTTTTCGCCTCCTCCGCTGGTAGAAACAGCTGGAGCTACTGCAACTTGTGGAGCAGGAGCAAAATGCGTTCGTGGTGTAGAGGGGACAACAGAAACGTGGTGATGAGGAGGTTGTTGAATGTGAGTCGGTACATGTTGAATATGTTGTTGCTGCTGCTGGACTATATGACGCATCTGCTGTGGTGGACCAGCAATTTGAGTACCACCTGAGTACAATACCCTGGGCTGAAAATTTGAGATAACATATCTTATCTTGACTGGAATTTTATCACCTTAACACGGGAACAATCATAGTTTTATGTATACCTGTTGGTGCGTTTGAGGAGTTTGATGTTGCACAATATGCTGGCCATGTGTCTGTTGATGCATCATAGGTTGCACCTAAACTCCCCTCATTTGAAAGACAAATTCACGGTTAGAAATTTAACTCTAACAACGAATAGAAGAGCTCACGAGATGTGTAGGCTGATATTCCACTACTTTCATGCCAGCAAGCCCTGCTGGTCCGAAGCTTACCGCTTCAAGAGTAGCCATTGACACCAATTGCGTAATAGCACGTGGCATTTCGGCTAATAACTGACACGCCACATCTCCCATCTCGGAAATCTGAAATTTTTACTTGCTGGCCTAATGCATAATCAGTAGAGAAGTTTATAGGGTTTTACTGCCTGTTCGCTAGAGTCCAAGAGAGATAGGGGTCTAGGTGCAACTCAGAAAAAATCGCTACGACCAAGATGATCCAGTTTGTCTTGTTTGAATTGTAGAATATGACAAAATGGTGTGCGTAATTCTTAATTCGTTGAACAAGAAACAAGTGATATGGTGACAGTAACATTCTAATTACCAAGTATTCTGATTTACAGATAAGAATGTCTGCCGGACAAAAAAGGGCAGGGAGAAAATTTGAAAACGTAATATAGAGAAAAAAAATGAACACGCAATCTCACCTGGTAGAGACACTCGAGCGTATATACACACATCATGATGTCTTTTATACAGATGACATTGAAAATGTGTTCGAACATTTTACGATCCAAGAAGTCGCATATTGTTGACTCATTCCCTTCAAAAGTGCTCAGCGCGGTGAGTATCTCCATCGACCGTATGAGCTAAACTTATCAAAAATTGTATGCGAACTGTGACCAACAGATAATCAGACGAAGATCAGTATACCTTGAATTTGTCGTTACTGAAAATGCCTTCTTTAACGATTCTCAGTAGAGCATGATCAGAGCAATGCACCATTTTATGCCAGGTGAGGTCGATCTGAAGAAGTATGATAAGGCCCATGTTAAAGAAAGGAGAGTAGAGATGACTGCAAAACTGATTTGAAGAAAAGAGTAGTTAGGACTGTATTACATCACAAGCCAAGTTGCTCAAGGTATCCATGGCCGCGGTATAAAGCGGAGCCCATTTGCTGGTGGCACAAAGAAACAGGAACCTTAAATAAGATTAACGAATATACCTACGGTTTTGAACGCAAAACGTGAAGCAAATCAATCATAAAAACAAACGAACCTAAATAACGGCCAACACTGAGCCATAGTGACTCGATTTATGGGCTCGAAAGACAGGTTCCTCACTATTGTCGAAACCTTGAATAGAAAAAGCTAATAATAGAATTTTATATCGTAATTAACTAACGATCATACCTGATTGATTCTCCACGACATAGGATCTCTCACGTCAAATTCTTTGACCAAACCAGTTAAAATATCGCCATCGGAGTCCTAAGGAGAAAATTTACGCTTCACTGTGACAATTAAAATAAAATCAAGACGACCACGAAATTGGAGTGTTAACGAGTATTGAGAAGGATGAAATTAACATTTCAACTAACCACTTTCTCCCCTATAACGTGTGGTGCAAACTTCTCCAACAAGTCCTGTGGAATTCCGGCCGAAGCCCAGAAATTGGTGAAATCGCGTCCACCATTCTGATGCCAAACAGCTGCGAGATCGGAAATATCCTGATCTTCTGCAAAAAAAGGGAATCCTGCTTGAGAAAAAGGATACATTTCGAAAACATACCATCATCGAAGATTCCACAGTGAGCAACTAATAATGTTATTATATTCGGTGCATGACTTAATCGGAGAAGCCGCGGACCAGGATGTGACAGGAGGGTGCATACATTCATGGCAAAATCAACCTGCAATATTGATGAAATCTAACCGTTTATGCAGGAACAGACAATAAAATTAGCACTCGAGCTTACCTCATTAGGCAATCCACTCAAAAGCGACTTCGTCAGCCTTGCGTAGTCGGGCTCAGTTGACGGATTTCCACGTTCGTCACGACGAATGTACTCTACAAAGTGAAAAGCTCATGCTGAATTACTTTGAACCTGACTAGTCTGCTTCTGAAAATACCTGAGACAACAACTCGTAAAAACAAACCATGACTTCGTCCCATTCCGACTGGGCAATCATTGGTAGCAAAAAATGAACTTTGCCTGCCCCGGGATCGAGACATTTCTCCATCTAGCATATCATCTATGTCACCGATAGTTTCAATCTGCTCGTACTTTGAGAGATATCTGAAGAATGAAAAAGAATATCCCCGAACGAGAACGAGCAAGAAGGTCGTCAAGGCATACACATTATACATAAGAAAATGCCAGCATGAGCTGTTTAATTTGATAAATAGAAGTAAAGTACCTCATATACAGCAGCTTTATAGCATGATCCCCGCCAACAACGTCTTCACCAACGCCAAGCATTTCTGCTACGTCAGACCACTTTTCATGCAAAGCCACCTACAGCATTTAGATGACACAATAAGCAATGTAAAAGAGTTATAAGACAGTTCAATCTAACCTTCTGCCATCCTCCCAGAGCCATAACGGTGTCATACAGCCGAAAAAGATTCACTTCCACTCCTTGGACAGTCGGCAGCTTTAATGGTGCATTCCTGGAATGGAAGTAATTAGCAAACGCTACAAAGCGTAAATAAATGCTTAATGTGGCTAAATGTTGGATTCTGAATGCATCGTAAACCTCTGGCTACTCACCATTTTCTCTTATAAAATTGCCGTAGACTCTGATAAAAATCCGAGATTTTCTTAAGTTTTTCCGGTGGGTCGCTGAGACTGTTGAGGTAATTTGCTAGAGCGGATTTCCGCTTCCGTCGTTCCATTTTTATATGGAATGAATATTTAACTGAGTGATCAATGCCCAAAGAGAAATCGCTATTGTTATAGTGGATCCTGAAAAAAAAANAAAAAAAAACATCTGCGAATTGAAAATGACAAATTGTAAGTGCAGAAACACCGGCCCACACAAATCATGGGAAGTAGATCGGGGGTAAAAATGAAAAGAAGGGCTGAGGTTGTTGGCGCTATGCGAACTCCTACAGGATCGCGCTACGCATGCTGCTTCCCTACGGAATTGTGGGGCAGCCCGATGTACAAATCTTTCCCACGAAAATTTATGAGGTCACTGTTCATTTCAGTGCTCTCGAAAACTACCCAACGATGGATCGATTCGTAAAGAAAGGACAAATCAAATAAATAACAATATTTTGAGGCAGAAAGCAAAATATAAAGCTGATAAATGGAAAGCACCTGCCTTAGGGAAGATAGCGCTTCGTTATTTATATGCATTTGTTATTTTTGCTTATATATAGTAACGCCTCATGGGTGGTTTCCTGCTGCGGCCTGAAACGAGCCGCAGACTGCTTGTTTCAGCAGAAGTCGCGCCACATGAACGCGACTACGATGAGATTCCTCGCGAACGCAGCAGCCTGCCAAAAGGTCGACGTCGGCCGGTGGGCCCCACTTCGACTAATGCCCCACTTCGCCCTAACACCACCTCACAACCATGCCGAATACCCAGGCACTCACCCAGCAACTATCCCCTAGAT